TTGAACCAAATTTAGAATAGTTTGTGGGGATTTCATTGTTGTAGGAAGATGTTGAGATATATAGGGATTCAATATGTGAGATTAAAATCTTGTATGGATTGTCTAAGGTCAATACGATGCGTTTGTGTGAAAATCTCAAGTTGTTATTTTACTTGAATTAGTGTTAAATAAGGGACACTGCACTAATTAAGGTATAAAAAATATTTTATTTAAAAATTTCTATTCATAACCTTTATGACTCGAGCAATTAAGTTTGCAATGGTCTTTAAAATCTGGTTCCTTATGGTCATCTGACTTGCAGTTATCGGTCGAAAGTTTGTTATATGAATCATTTAGAAAGTTTAAGGAAGAGAATGATTCAAATAAAAATAAATAAATATTATTCTAAAAAAACTTAGAAAAAGTAGGTGCATGAAACAGAAGACGCACCAAATGTATTGGGTAAGTCTTAAACACTTGTTTAAGAAAGTTTAACTTTTGATAAGAGATTGTTAACTTAATTAAATTTTAGAGATTGAAGCATTGAAAGTTAATGGAGAATCCTTGTTTATTGAAATGTTAAACAGAAATTGGTAAAATTTTGCCAAACTAGATGTGGGATAGTAAAAAAATCCAACATTAGTTCACATACTCGAAAAGAGCGAAAATAATAAATTTGGGGTGTGTAAATCTTACGAATGATGAAAGAACATATTTGACCACTAAGGATTGAGAATTGAAACAATTTATGAATTCATAATACTATACTTAATTCTTCACACATACGTCGATTTTACATTGGAAAAGTTGATTTTAATTTTTGTATTGTGATGTTGAAATTGTGCATAGATTTGTTATTATAATTTCAATCCTGAAATTAAAAAAATCGAGTTAGCTAGCTAAATCTTGTTATTTTATTTGATTGATTAGCCACCAATTAAGTAATTAGCATTATTTGATTGTGTGTTTGTTAAGTTTTAGTTTTGTTAAGATTCAAATTTGAGGGTGTGATAAGTGTAGTTTCTACACTTATTCAAGGCTCTAAATCGTGATATTTTATTGTCTTTAGGATAAATTTTTTTCCAAATATATGTTATATTGTATTTCATAGGTAAAAAATTATATTTAATGAAGAATTAGATAAGAGAATGTAAAAGTGATGAAAAATGATAAAATTCAAAGATGAAACTATTGAAAGAGAGAGAGAAAAGAAAATGGGAAAAAGTCAAAGTAGCAGGAAAAAGGTCGAAAGAGAAAGAAAAGAAAAGAAAAGAGAAGAGAAGAGAGGGGAAAGAAGAAGAAAAAAAAGAGAAAAAGAAAAGGAGACTGCAGACACCAGAAATTTCATGTTTCGTCAATTTTTGATAATATCTTTTCACTTTTAGTATTTTTATTTTTACAATATGAATAACTAATTTTTATATTAGGAAAAACAATGTAGCTGACTTGTGATCCTTTATTTTTCTATTCAAGATTTATGCGATTTATTTATATATGTATTGGTTTTATTATGAGTTTAATATATTAAATTACATGATCAATAATTTGATGATTACGTGAGTTTCCTACAAATCGAGAGGTGGGTTTGAGGTTTAAATCATATAGTAAAATTTAGAAAATTAATATAACGTATAGAGATATCTATATTAATTATTGCGGTCATAATATGAATTCTTAGAACTAGTGTTTCGTTTAATTAGGGTTGATTCGCATAGAGGTATGGAATTGAATTGTTAAATATGATCAATGAGAACTGGAGAGGAGTAAATTGAATACAATAGGAGAATTTGATTGAATGCTACATTATGTTATGAATCCGGAATTAAGAATTAAGCCCCTATTTAAGTCACATTAAAATTTTCATTGTCATTCTTCTATTCATTTTCAACCACACATTTTCCAATAAAATAATATTTTTTCATTACATCAATAACTTTTCCTACTTTTTCAACCACACATTTTTCATCAATCTACTATTCCAAAATACATTCTTCCAAAATAATATAGCTCAAACACACCCTAGGTGATCAATAGATGAAATTGATATGCCATAATATTCATCACATATTTGAATCTTCAATTATCCGTTGTTTGCAATTTTTTTATATTTTCAATTAGTTAAAAGTTGTTAGGAAAAATAATCACAATCATCAAAATTATTTACTTGCTTTTGTCAAATATGAGTTAGAAAGATTAGATTAAGTCCTAAAGTATAGTTTTTGTGGGAATAATATCCTAACTCTAGGATCCACTGTATTGCTAGTTACGATATCGTACACTTGAGATATAAAAACACATCATTCCTCTCCACCACAAGGAGGATGAGGAGGTGATAAAGAAGAAGAGTAAGATCAAGTTAACAAGGAAAAATGAAATGATCCCAAGTAGAAGACAAATAATTCAATATAAAATTCTATGTTAATATCAGAATATGGGTTTCAGGATTCAGATTTTGGGGTTCATGAGCCCTGGATAATTGTAAGTACATTCGTTGATTTATTCATTCAAGATTCAGCAGTTTTTGTAATTCCAGAAAATGGGTTTCAGAATTCAGATTAGGGTTTAGTTTGTGTTCATATGTAGGGCAATGGAATTGTGAATTCACAATTAGGAATGATGTCTAGCATTCATTCATTAAAGATTCAACAGTTATTGTAATTCCATTACCTTCTGATTTTACTGAAAAGCATCAAGAATCGAATTCAAGAATATGAAATGTTATATGAACAATTTGCTTTGTCTAAAAAATAAACTCTCTTGCTTGATGTTGAGCTCTTACACACAGTACCAAATTTCAAGAATATGAAACGTTAAATGTATCCTCTCTATCATTTATTTTTATAACTATTGGTGCTAATTGGACGGATGTAGTTTATGGGACTTGTAAAATTGATTTGCATTGCAATGCACAATTTTAGATTTCCTTCAAAATACGATTATCCCACTTTTAATTAAAAATAAGAAGAAAATAAATTAATAAAATCATAAAATACACTTGGTTGATTAGAACATGTTGAGATGCCGTCCACATGTATTTTTAAGGCTCAATCGCACAAAACGTCTCTACGTTTGGCATCTAATGTGCAAAACGTCTATACGTTTCAATGTTTTGCATTTTCACCTCTATTTCAATGTTTCATTACGGAAAGCGTCATTTTTACCTATTTTAAACTTTAAATGACGAATATACCCTCCTATATAAATAAAACAAAAAAAATAAAAAAATAAAGAATAAATTGCAATTTTACTCCTAAATTTTTTAAAAAATGCAAATGATTCCAAAATTTATGAAAATATTAAAAATAACAAAAAAATATTTCTTTCTTCTCCTTCTCCTTCGCCTCCCTTCGCCTCCACCACTACCGTCACCACTGCCAAAACCATCGGAATTTCACCACTTTGCAATTGAACTCTCATTGTACTCCTACAGATGTGTTCATAATATCAAACAAAGTTGAAAATTAGAATCTACAACCATTTTCTTCAACGGCGAATTCGGTCACTTCAAACTCATTTTTCAGCGCCGGCGTTAAGACCCATGATCGCAGTCCACCTCCCCTAGTACCGCCTACTCAAGGTGAACCTATGGGTCATCGTCAATTTTGCCTGGAAATGAAAAAGCCACACTTGACAGTGTACACGCGCTAAAAAACTAGTCTAATCCCCTTTCAATTGGCATCCCTCCACAACTCCAATCTACAAATTGCATCAACTAGCATATAATTAAAGGGAAAACGACCATGGGTAAGGATTCAATTGCTTCAATTCATCAGCCAAATGAAACACTTTTGGATTGACATAACGAACTGTTTGTTCTCGCGAAGGGAAAATTCTTCCATCCATTTGTGGCTCAATTGTGTCCCAACATACGAATCAACTTGGGAAAACTCAAATTCAAGTTCAAACAACATTGGGTAATCGTTCAATTGTAGAAATTACAACCCTCGTTTGCCAAATTTTGGAGTCAAATGTCGTTTCTCACACATCACGAAGAGAAGAGAGAAAAAGTTCGAGCCAAATTTTGGAGTCAAAATAAAGGGGTGAAATTCCAATGGTTTTGGCGGCGACGGCGACGAAGGAGGCGGATGAGAAGAGAGAAAGAGTTTTTTTTATTATTTTTAATATTTTCATAAATTTTGGATTCATTCGCATTTTTAAAAAATTTTAGAGTAAGATTGCAATTTATTCTTTATTTTTCTCTTTCTTTTTTGTTTTATTTATATAGAAGGGTATATTTGTCATTTTACGTTAAAAATGTGTGAAAATGATATTTTCTGCAATGAAACATTAAAATAGGGGTGAAATTGTAAAAATTTGAAACGTAGGAACGTTTTGCACAATACATATCAAACGTAGAGACTTTTTATGCGATTAAACCTATTTTTAATTAACCCATGTTTGATGGGGATTAAAATCAAATTTTTATTAGATTTTGTGTAATTGAATAGTTGAAAATCCCATAAAATGTGTTGTTAAAATTAGTTGTTGACTTTAACTTAAATTAAAATCTAGATTTTAATTTGTACAAAACTGGAGTTAAAATTGTAAATCTTAAGTGTTATATAGAGGAAACAAGATAGGATATTGAGTGCTTGATTGTACGAAATTGGGGTTAAAATTGTAAATCTTAAGTGTTATATAGAGGAAATAAGATAGGACATTGAGTGCTTGATTCGCATATTTCAATATTCGAAATCATCCATCACACATTTGTATTTCGTAAAATCATTTGAATTCATGTAATTATCGGAATCGAACTCGAATATCACGTGAACTCATAATTTTTTTAATTTTTAATCACGCTCCAAAAAAAATTACTTTTCAAAAACCATTTCTGAAAAAACAAAATCAAAAAATGGCTTAGATAGAAGTGAGAACTTAAATACGGAAAAATTTAAGGACTTAAGTGCTAATTATCCAAACATTTGGATCGTGTCTTCAATTTTCTTAAAGCTGACACCATATGTACATACACAAACAGGCAGTAAAGCTTAAAAATTAAGAAAAATAAACCCGGAACAATGGCGGACGATAACACAACCAACAACGTCGGAGAAATCGAAGAAGAAACCCCTTTGATATCGACCCAGAACCCAGACCCGAGTCCACTAATAACCCGATCCGTACGCACGAAGGTGCCCGAGGCGGAGGTGCACGTATATCGGCAAGGGAAGGGCCCGATCGAAGTGTTTAAGACGGGCCTCGGCGGGTGGGAGCAGGATCAGCTGGAGATACGAGATATTCTCAACAAATATGGGTTCAAGATGGCTTACGCCTTCAGTCCTGGGTCGGGCCGCGGAGTGCCCATCCGGTTCAACCCCCGTAATGGTCGATCCTTGATCACTTACAGTGACGGTGCGGTTGTTCACATTGACGGCGAGCCCAAGGTAAAATATCAAAACTTGTATATATGCGTGCACTATTTTGTATATATAGGTGAGTTTTTTTGTTTTTTTCATTATTTTTGTGGAAAAGGCAATTAGGAAAGCCAAAATGAATTTGCAATGAAACAATGATTTGAGTAGTTTTGTCTAATAATAAGAACTTGTGAAAAATAATTGAAATCAGAATGGAAATTTCTGAAATTTCAATTCTGAGGCTCAGTTTAATCTATAGGAGAAATTGATCTTAACATAGAATGTTTTTCTTTGGAATTTACTACTAATTATGTTTTCCTTTATGAGAGTAATCAGTATACAGCGTGTTAAAGCCATATTATAACTTAAGGTTTTTTGTTAAAAGTTCAGTAACCACTATTATATTTAACCCCCAAGTTCTACTATACTATGGAGATTTTGAATAATATAATATACCTTCTTCTTGGATAGTTGCATTTTTGGGTATTGTGCATATGGTGCTGTATTTGAGAGATTTTTTTTTCTTATCTTTATTGTTTATACCAAGTTTAATAATTTAGTAAATTGATTTTTTGTTGGATTATAACAAACTGAAGACAGAGAGCTTCTGAACTTTCAAATTCAGTTCTACTATGTCGCTACACGAGCTATGGGCCTAGTTCCGATATTACCTCTTCTTTAATGGTGTTCAATAGGAGCTACTGAAACTATGAAGGAAAAGAATATGAAATAATTGGATTCCTTTAATCTATTTGCCAAGATCTTTGCATTAATTTTGTAAACCCCACTCACTAAGCTAATAGGACGGAAATCCTTAATATCCGTCGCGCCCGGTTTCTTAGGAATAAGCAAAATAAATGTGGCATTAGCGCTTCTTAAGAATCCCATAGTATAGTAGAACTTGGGGGTTAAATATAATAGTAAATAATATAATATACCTTCTTCTTGGATAGTTGCATTTTTGGTATTGTGCATATGGTGCTGTATTTGAGAGATTTTTTTCTTATCTTTATTGTTTATACCAAGTTTAATAATTTAGTAAATTGATTTTTTGTTGGATTATAACAAACTGAAGACAGAGAGCTTATGAACTTTCAAATTCAGTTCTACTGTGTCGCTACACGAGCTATGGGCCTAGTTCCGATACTACTGAAACTATTAAGGAAAAGAATATGAAATAATTGGACATTTGATCTTAATTTAATGGATTGAGCTTTGTTCTCTGTTTTGCATAGTAGGATGGATTGAGGAGGAGAGTCACTTCTCGTGTTTGATAAGGTGAAAAATAGGAAAGAAGAAAAGACCATTTATTATATAATTACCTCTGGTAACCTTATTTTTGTAGATTGGTGTTAGAAATGTGATTTATATGAAAACAGAAATGGTAAAATTGCATTACCTGCAAGATTCTTCCCTTTCTTCCTTCTCAACTTTTTCTATGTCCCAGTTTTCTTCTAGAATTTATCGTCTGATCTTTTATTTGCATGAACCTAACATACCTTTATTTCACCTTATTTGAGTTTCCAAATATTTGCAATACACATTCCCAGTGATGTACCCCTTCAATATTTTCTAGAGATCTTCATCGAACTTTAATTTCGCATAAACTAAGCCCCTGTTTGGTAAGGATTAAAAGCTAGATTTTAATCCAAATCAAAGTCAACAACTAATTTTAATTACATATTTTATGAGACCCGTAGCTTTTAACCACACGTATTATCAACTTTTATCAAAATCTTATTAAAAATCTGATTTTAATTCCCACCAAACAGGGTCTAAATTACAAGCTGTCATTATGTTCTAAGTATGATGAGCTGTTATCCTTCAAGAAAAGGAGAAATCCCATAGAAGGTTCATACCGTTGCTATATTTTTATTATAAGAGCTGTTAGGTTGTTAGTGCAGTGCAGCATAGCTTCTTAGCACATGTTTGGCGTGACTTCTGCTTTATGTAGAAGAGATTCCTGGAAAAGCTATTTAAATTTTTTTTTTTTGGAAACTAATTTCTATAACAGCTTCTTATTTCGGATGTGCTTTTAGAGAAAACCACATTGAACGATCTTCTTGAAAAAGCTCTTCTAACTAGAGAAGTACTTTCATAAAATTAGCCAAACGGGTGCAAAAGTAGCTTTTGGATCTCAAAAGTCTTGTTAAACGGGCCTTAATATATGTTTGAATTGTTGTTCTAGGTTAAAGGAGCTTTCTTGCGTCATGTATTTTGGAAACTTTTTCTACGTTTTAGTTATTTTAACTTCTTTGCCGTCAATGAACGATTTGCACAAGAATTTACTCAATGTCTGTTTGCACGGTAAGCTTACAAGCTTTTTCAGCTGTCCTCACATGCAATCGAAACATACTTATAAGTTACTTATTTTGCACGTCCAAAATGCTACTTTCAAATTGCAGGTAGTCTTACATCTGAGAAATTCGTGCTGCTTGCAATTACCAATAGATAGTCAAATTTAACTTGTTTTGTGCCCTCTAATTTCAGGATTCTCTTCTCAAGCCTATTACGAAGATATTGTTAGGCGTAGCCATAATTACCTTCATGATTATTTTGGTTATGAAAGAGACTCCAGAATGGATGAAAAAACTCAACTTCTCGGGAGTTCACTTCCCTCCATGGATCCTGGCTTGCGTGGTAATTGTTTTTACTCGACTGAGGAAGAGAACTAGGAGTTTTCTAGAGAAACATCTTCGATGAGCCTTTAACTCAAATTTATGTAAAACTTTTCCAGCTTCTTCTCAAGGTTTTTATTTGCCATGTTCTTTTTGTTGGTGTAACTCGTCTATTACAAGTGAGATTCTACATTTATCGAAAGATTTTGTTGGCGTTTTGGGCTTCCATTGGAAATGTTACGGATTTTGTAATCCCAATTGGGTCACTTTAAAATTTATTTGGGTCACTAGGTGCTGTCTTCCAAACTAATAAAAATTAGGGAAGATTATCTATTCAAGAAAATAAGTTTAGCCTATTTCAAAAATAAGAAAACAAGTTTGAAATTTTCAAAATCAGATTTTTATTAAAAAAATTTAAATTTTTATTTATTTAATAATAAATTATTAAATTAATTTATTATTAAATATTTAATTATAATATAATATAATTAACTCATCCCACCTTTACCACC